TGACGACGGCATCCACCGGGTCGAACGCCTTTGGGGACAACAAGTGGTACCGATACCATTACTCCCCCAACCTCTCCCAGGGTGCGCTCTGACCAGAATTTCGGGGCGAAAACGAGGGAAGGGTAGCGGTATGGGTACGACCAGACCTAGGACAGAAGAACATCCTTCAAGAACGTGAGACCCTCCGCCGGCCAACACACACACACAAACACAACAAACACAAACACAAACACAACCACAACCACAACCACAACCACAACCACAACCACAAACACAAACACACACAAACACAAACACAAACACAAACACAAACACAACCACAACCACAACCACAACCATCCCCTGGATGCACGAGAGCATCCGACAGACACGAAGAGCATGAAGGTGCCCTCCCCGAGCCGACCTCGATCTTGTGTTGTCGGGCGTGTCCCGCTACAGGCGACTTTTGGGCGAAGAACAAGAAATCCTCAAAACATTATCAAAAGTGGTCAAACAGTAATCGAAGATCGTCCCAGGACTGTTTTTATGATTATTTTGAAAATCTTCCTCCTGTAGAATGACACGCCCGACTTAACTCTTGTGCCCCCACGAGGCCCCCAGGACCACCCCAAGACGGCCCACGAGGCTCCCAGGAGGCCCCAATGACAACCCAAAAGAACTCCAACGTGGCCCAAGAGGCGCCCTAGACGGCCCAACAGAGCCCCAAAACGGCCCCAAAGAGAGGGACCACGAACTGCGAATTCCAGCGCTCCGCCCAACGAAGCTCTCTGGGCCCCCAAGCGGCCCAAAGAGGCCCCAAGGAGCGCCCAAGAGGGGTTGGCGAATGAAGCGTAAGCTTGTCGAATCTTGCGCCTGGGTCCGACCGTGCCTTTTTTCCTCCTCCGAACCTTGGCCGCGTGCGCCGCCGTTGGCACGGCCGCCGCCGCCGCCCCGAGCAGAGCTGCGTGCTGTGCCGGAGCCAGGTCGGCGGGCGGCGCCCGCGGCGCTGCCGCGGGGGATGGCACGAAGGTGGTCGCCACGAACGCGCCCGAGGCCAGGAGCACGGCGATGGAGAGCAGCCTCACGGGACACATAGGGACATACAAATACGATACGTCCTCCTTGGAAGCGCGCGTCCGACCCGAACATAAACTACACCCATAGTGTAGTATATCGTTTCCCGAACGGTGTGGCCAGAAAACGCCCGCGAATACTATTAAGATGTTTCGCTGCGCGTGTTGCCCCTGAAGGGGCGACGCACATGTAGTCGGAGGTTGGGGGGTGAGATCGAAGTGGGACGGATAGCCCCCGGGAAATCGACTTCGGTTTCGCGTTCGTGCGCGCAGTGCGTGCGGGCGAGGCGAAGCTGCGTGGGCGGGCGAGAGGAAAAAGCCTCCTGTGGCTGAGGCGCGGCCGGACCAAATGTTTGGCGACCCGGCGTTCGGCGCCGCGCGGTGTCCCGCCGTTGTCCCGCCAATGTCCCGTCGGTGTCCCGTCGGTGTCCTGCGCTGTCCCGTCGCGAGATCGATGGTGAGATCAATCAAGAGCTCGATCGTGAGATCGATTGTGAGATCCATAGTTGGACCGATCGTGATATCGATTATGCGATCTGATATCGATAGTGATATTGATAGGGAGATCGATTGTGATATTGATCGAGTGAGATCGAGCGAATGAAATCGATGGTGAGATCGATGGTGATATCGATCGAGTGCGACGTTGCCCCCGTGCCTCCTTATCACCCGAAGGGTGGTCGTATAAGTGCCCCGCCCTTGCAAGGCAACAAAACAAAAAATAATTTCGTTGGTTCAGGCTCCCTTGGGAACTCTTAAATCGTTCCCGGGGCCCTGTGCCGCGCTGCGTTGTCATGCCGTGCTGTATGCTGTGCCGTCGCTGTCGCCGTCGGACCGCAGCCCATCGCGGTTCTGCCTTCGGAGAGTCCGTTCGAACCTTCGGCCGGTGCCGCCCCCATGGCTGGCGCCGCCCGCATGCTCAGACATGCCCTGCCCGTGTCCCAGGGCCAGGCATTGCCAGCCCCAGGGACAGAGGCAGCATGCCCGGACTCGCGCAGACTCGCACAACGATGCGGGCACTCCGAACATTCCCTGTCCGGCACGGTGGAGCTCCATCCTCAACGCCTGCTGGCCCGGGAGGAGTTCAAGGCGAACTTGCTGGCAGCACCGGGGATGCTAAAGGCCCCTGTGCTTCCAAAAATCTATGTGGCCACTCGGGGTTCGGGTTGGCCAATTGGGGTTTCGGGGAGTCTTTGGGGGCCTCCTTGGGAGGAGGCATATTGAGGCATCTTGGGCTATCTTGAGCCATGTTGGAAGCCATCTTGAGTTCCGCGAGACTTTCTTGGAACCGTCTTGGGCCATTTTGGACGCTCCAACGCCTCCCGGACCCCCCCGTCCAGATCCAGGGGATGAAGTAAGGGGGAAAGGTCAACCCCTCCCCGAAGGGAGCGAAGGAGGGGTGGAAGAGGAAACGCCCTGGGACGAAGGACGGGAAGGGTGGAAAAGGGGGTTGGAAGAGAAAAGGCCGGTGGGCTTTGCGCCAGGCTTGGCCGCCCAAGAGGAGCTCAACCGGGGGGGGGGCTCGGGGGCGAGGGTGGCTACGAGGGCGATCCTCAGGTCGACGACAAGAGCACCGAGACCTCGCAGGGGAACCGAGGCAGGCACATCTTCGAGAGGAACCTGAACGTCCACCTGCACCGCGAGCCGAAGCTGGCTCTGGAGTTCGAGCTCACGCGGGACAGCCACATGCAGGACATGCCGGGCCGCCCTTACACTGAGACAGCCATGTTCTAGGACCCCCCCAAACGGCATCACGCGGCGGCCTGGCGCGTGCTCTTGCACGCCGTCACGGGCCGGGAACTCCCCCCACAGCATGCTCGCGTCTACTGCAAGGCCTGCCTGACGAGACACGGCAACTGGGGGGTCGACGAGCTGCCAGGGGGCCTGGAGGGGGTCCCGCTTGAGCCGGGGTTTGCCAGTTCTGCGGGGGCGAAGGCCTCAATGAGTCAGGGTGGCACGACCGGGCCGCCTGCCAAAAAGGGTAAAGCGGCGGACCTTGCAACAGGGCAACAAGGCCTTGGCAACTCTTCGATCGAAGAAGCGGAATGGCAGCACGACGTTCCCGTTTCCTTTCCAGGACGCCCCCTCGACGCCCGGGGGCCTCGCGATTGCCCCTGCGGCGCAGGTGGAACGCGAGCCCACCGACGCGGCAAGGAAGCCAGCGCGCGGGGAGGAGGTGGCAGGCGAAGCCCAGCGGTCGGGGCCAGGCTTTGCCAGCCCGACGACCCAGGGGCAGAAAAACGGCGACGAGGAGGATGCGGAGAAGACGCTGCCAGGGGAGGGCCCCGAAGCCGATTGGGGAGAGGATGCGGCGGGCGTGGGCCGGTTCGAGATCACGGCTGACCTGCGCGAAGAGCTGGCCGGAAAGCCCGATGGGAACCCGGCCGCCGCCCGTGAGTCCAGGGAGGTCTGGGCCGCACTCGGCGCAGGGTGTTCCCATCCCAGACTTGTTGAAGGTTGTGCAGGGTCAGCCGATGGCCAGTAACGCCGCTCTGGAAATTGCTCGTGCTATGAAGCTTCGCGGTGCGGATCATGTAGGCAGAAAACCAGGCAGCCCAAAACGACATCAAAACTCGTGGCCGAAAATGACCCGGGCGCCCTTATCGTCGAGAAATCCCAGGCGGAGCACTACGTGAGCCCGTGGGAATGGAAATTACCGTCGAATGCTGTGCTCTCCAAGCGGCATCCATTGACAGCGGAGCCATTGTGGGCGTTCAAACTTCGCAGGGCGGGAGCGCCAGCCCTTGACAGCGCTACTCTTGCTGGCTCGGAGGCCGAAGTCGAGCGCAACTGGCAAACCTTCCTGGACTTCTTCGGGCGGCGGGAATTCAGGCGTTGCTTCAACCGGTCAGGCAACAGCGCAGTCCTCAAGCCAGCGCCCGACATCGTCGTCCTCCACCCTGTGGGCAGGTTCGGTCAGGCGAAAACTGATGCGCACTGGCAAGACGCATGCATCTGGACTCTTCAGGCGCACTGCAACCATGGCGAAACGCGCACGAGTACGTTTCGGGACGCCGAGCACCTGGCCGGTTTCACCGACGAGGCTGTGGCCGAGCTGATGCAGCGCTTTGCAACCGCCCAGCCTGGAGAGCGCTTGAGTCTGCGCTTGGCGCTATGCCTTCCGCACATCGCGAAGGCGAGGCATTTGCGGATGGCGCGCCGCACACAGGCCGACGAGACAAAACGGTCGACCTCCCGAGTGGCAGCTGCTCTCGCCCCGGTGAAATACAGATTCCTGGAGCATGACGCGGACTGGAAGCAGAAGCGTTGGGTGGACATGGCCGCGGCGGACCAGGAGGATCAGACGAGGGTCTTTTGACGCACGCTGGGAATTGGCCTGCGGGGGGGCCCTCGTCGCCATGGCTGGACGAGAGGGGCCTCAAGAGACCCCCAAAAGGCCCCCTCGACAGGCCCCCCGCGAGCCCCCCCGCGAGCCCCACAAGAGGTCGCGCATGGTTCCTAGATGAGGGGGGGGAGGACGAGGAGGGGGAGGAGGAGGAAGGTGACCAATTAGGTCGCGCCGTGCCGTGCCTTGCGAGGGTGACAAATTAGGTCGCGCCGTGCCGTGCGAGGGTGGCGAATTAGGTCGCGCCGTGCCGTGCGAGGGTGGCCAATTAGGTCGCGCCGCGCCGTGCGAGGGTGACCAATTAGGTCGCGCCGCGCCGTGTGAGGGTGACCAATTAGGTCGCGCATGGTCCCTAGATGAGGGGGGGGAGGACGAGGAGGAGGAGGAGGAGGAGGAGGGGGGGGAGGAGGAGGGTGACTCATTAGGTCGCGCCGCGCCGCCCCGTTCGACGGTGACCAGTTATGTCGCGCCGCGCTGTGCGAGGGTGACCAATTAGGTCGCGCATGGCCCCCAAGTGAGGAGGGGGAGGACGAGGAGGAGGAAACAGAGGAGGAGGGTGACCAATTAGGTCGCGCCGCGCCGTGCCGCGCGAAAGTGTCCAATTAGGTCGCGCCGTGCCGTGCCGTGCGGGAGTGCCTTTCCAGAGCGAAGAACCTCGGGGGGGGCCTGGGAACCGATTTTGAACCAGCTATTCGTTTCCAATGTCTCAAACCGCCCTTCTCCGAGAGGAGGCGACCGAACCGCGGCGCAAGGCGGAGCTCCGGCCAGTCTTTGACAGCGCGGAGAAGCGAGACGAGGAGTTTTCGATGGAAGAGGAGGAAAGCATGAAGATCCAGGAGACCATGGTGTTTTTCATCAAACAGGATCTGAAGTGGACGCGCCGCGAGCTGCACGATTCCCTTCTGGAGGCAGAGGTCGCGGTGCCTGTCGTGCCTTCCATCCACAACTACATTTCCGCTCTCCGCGCGCATTATGGAGACGCCGATGCCGGCTTTCTCCCGCAGTCTTTCAAGTCCCACTCCAAGAAGAAGCTGCAGGCCATTCTTCGCATACTCGGCCGCGCGGGCCTGCAGATCGGCGGGAGAAACGATGACCGAAAGCCAGTTCTGGCACAGCGACTCGCGCGCTGGCTCAACCGAGTTCTGGCGGCCGGTCGCCAGGTGCCCGAGGGGCGTCGGGCAGCGACGCCGACAGCGCGCATGATCTGGGGAAGCGCCCGCGGCCACGGGAGCCGATCTTGCTGGAGCACGCGGCAAGTATGGGAGAGACCCCGCAGCATGCCGTCGCCACGGCAGAACAAGCGGAGAGCGCCCTCGGCAGAACGTTGGCGACGGAGATCGACATTGATTACACGGACGCCGCGGACACAGACACAAAGGAGGAAGAAGAGGCACTGGCGGGCCGCCAGGTCAACCCGAGCGGAGTGGATTACACGTGCATCGCCTGGCAGCCACCGGCGCCAGACGTTGTCAGAGCCGCCGCAGTTGGCTGGCCAGCCACTCTACCTGCTCGCCCCTTGGAGTGCTCTGACTCAACGTCCTCTAAATCGGGCGTCGCTGCGAAGTTGCGGGGTGGCCTGGCGGAGCTCGGCGGGGCATCCACTCCAAGATGGCGGCTGCCCCATCGGATTTCAACGCGGCCGCGCAGACACTGGGCCCGACTCAAAAACTCTTCGCGCGGATGCTGGCATAATGGGCAAACGAGCGGGCGGCGTAGCGTCAGGCTTTGCCGGCGACGGGCGGGGCCCCAAGAATCGGGCCGGCGCTCAGACTTGCCGCTCTGGGCGCGGCTGGCACGGGGAAGACGCGCGCTGCGCAGATAGCCATCAACCAGGTCCGCAAGAAGTTCGGGTCACACGACAGCGCCCTCACCGCGGCCTTCTCCGGCGCGGCAGCGGCGAAGCTCGGGGGCGGAGCGAGCGCGATCGTCGATCGCCGATCGACGGCATGCTGTCGATCGTCGATCGACAGCATCTTCACCGCGAGCCGCGATTCCGCGAGTGACGGCTTGGCTGGAGACCAGTGGATAATTTCGTCGACCTGCTTGAGCACGTGGAACTGTTAGCGGTGGGCGAGGTGTCCACGTGCGGGGCCAGCAGGCGTACGCAGCAGGTGGCGCGCGCGCTGTGGCGCAGACGACTTCGCTGCCCACCTCCCGAAGACATGGGCCCGTTCGGCAGCATCGGCGTCGGCGTCGTTCTCATGGGTGGCTTCGCACGGTTGCCACCTGTGCTGGCCGCTAGCTCGCTTCCGGGCATGCCTCGCGTGGGCGCGGGCGGCCCGACAGTTCGAGCCATGGCGCTGGCCCGCCAGAAGACCTTCGCCGAATTCGAGGACGTCTGGCGTTTGCGTCGCACTCACCGCCAGAAGGGTGTCGATGCGTTCAAACAGTCGACTATGAGACTCAGAGATGCAGCGATCACAACGGAGGATTACGCTCAGTGGAAGACCCACGAGTTGGACACGATGAAAGGCTCGGAGCTTCAGTCTGCCAGCCCGCGCGCGTGGCGGGGCAGCGAGACTCTCGTCCGCGAGGGGTTGGTTCTCATGCCGGAGAACCAAGCTGTCGGGAAGATCAGCGGCAGGGAATTGGCAGCCAGGGCGGCGCCCCTTCACGGCGCGCCAGGCTTTGCCGGCGCGGGGGGCGTCGTCGCGAGGAAGGCACGACGCAGCGACCCGCGCGGATAACGCAGGAGCGCTGGCGACTTCCGAAAACTCCGCAGGGCGCTCCACCTGCGCGCGGGGGCGCGGGCGATGTTAACGCAAGATTCTTTATGGGGCGCCCCCGCCGTGCCCCTCGGGCCCGCGAATGGGGCCCGGGGAGTGGCAGTCGCCATCGCGTGCGCCTCCCCAGGGAGCCAGCGAACTGACCGAAGGACCCTCGCAGGGGTCGGCCATCCCAGCCCCGCCCTCGGAGTGGTTCCCCGGGGGGGTCCATCTTGCCCAGTTCCTGACTTCGCGGTCGCGCATTTCCCCGCGTACAAGGACCCCGCTTGCTTCGACGATCTCCCAAGGACCTGGGCACCGGCCACCTGCGCAGAGGTGCGACGCAAGACTTCGCAATCGTCGACTCGCGCCGGCGTGCCCCCGCGCCTGGCTTGGGCCCTAACCATCCGCAAGTAGCAGGGCACCACGGCGCACGAGGGCTGCGTCGCGTCCTTTGCTGGATGTCGCGGACCCAACCCGGCAGGCAGGCTCGGGATGGCTTTCGCGGCGTGGGCCCGCGTCGCGAACGGGGGACCTTTGGCTTTCGCAAGCTCCCACCCATGACGGACTTTCTGTCCGCGCGCCCGACGAGGGAATTCTTCGCCGGGGCAGAGATCGAGAGCAAGGCAGACGCCGCGTTTGCAATACTGCTCGAACGGAGAGGCACTTCTCCCGAAGCGCTGCTGGCTGAGCACGAGCAACGCTCACGGACCACCACGCTCGCAAAAGAAGGGCGCGAACCCAATGGCGCTGAGCTGGCAGATCTGCGGGCGACGCCGTCCGCGGTGGGCGCGGCGCCAATCGGCGACAGCGTCTCCCGGCGCTGCGAGGAGCAATCGGGCCGCCGCAAGGCCACTGGCCCGTGGAGCATCGTGGCCTCGTTCCGCGCACAGAAACCGAAGGAAACCAAACCGGGCCTGGCTTTGCCGGCCCGCGGGAAGAGCGGCCCCGGCGGCGAGACCTCGACGACGCAGACGGGAACTCCGGGACCCGCGGCCTCGGAGGCGGAAGCCGCGGCTGCGGCCTCTGCGGCGGCGACCGCGATCGACGCGGGCTCCAACGAGTTTAACATCGCCCGTGCGTTGGAGCTGACGTCGTTCCAAAACGGGTAAGCGTTGGCGCCCATGCTCAACGGCCTAGGCGCGCAGCGCACAAAGTACGACGCGCTTGAACGGCGCCGCCGCCATACTGCCAAGACGGTCCGGGCTCTGGACTGCGAAGTGTTGGGGGGTGACGCAGCACTCGCAGCGCGCGCGCAATGAGTTGCTGTTCGACGCGCGTGTCTGGGACCTGGGGCAGCATGCGGGCCGAACCGCGGGTGCGTGCTTCTGGCTATGCCTCGCAGCAGGCCTGGCCGAACGCGGGCCGGACGTTCTGGCCCAGGCCTTACCGAGCAACGCTCCGGCCCATCGAACGGCGGGCCAACTGATAGCACAGGGTGCGCAGCGGTGTGTCAACGCTGGCGTGCGTCACTCGCCTTTGGGCGCGGTGGCGGAAGCTCTGCGGGCCCGGTTCTGCGGCGGCGAAGCCGCCGTGCTGCTCAGAGCCGGCATGAAGAACAGAATATACCCGGCCTCTGCTGGCTTGGATGTCCGGGGCCCCGTGCGCACCGAGGCGCCGTGAACTCGCTGGGCGCAGAAGCTGGCAACTAAAGAGTACGCGGGCGAGTTGGTCGTGATGTCAGCCGCCTTGGAATTCGGCATCCGCATCGCTGTCATCCCTTTCGCTCCGCCGACGGCACTGGCCCAGTGGGCGATCCCCTCTCATGGGCCAGAAAACGCGACCGTCGCTGTTCACATGGGCAACAATGATTCGCGTTATGTTTATCTGTCGCGGGAATCGTGATGGCGCCGGACGCCCGCGCCAGATGTGCCAGTGTGTCGCAGCTCCGCCTCGTCTCGCTGCACGCGGCACGCACGGACGCTGCCTGACGCTCGGCACAACGCGGAGGAGAGCCAAGCCACCTTGCCGAGCAAGAAGTGAGTGCAGGGGGTACGGGCTGCGCCAAGCTTTGCCAGCGCTTCCGTACTCCCTGACCAGATGAGGCTCGATTTCGCCGGCTTTCCAACCGTTTGCCCTGTTTCGGCTAGCGGTGCCCTCGGATGTCGGCGCGAGCTCGAAAGAGCAAGGAAAAACAAGTTTCGATGGCGGTGCGTCGTTCTCGGCCGCCGAGGGTCCGCCGTTGAGCAATATTTCGAGACCATTTTAGCCGTGGCGACGAGCGGTGCCTCAGGAGGCCTCAAACAAAAAACCGTCGTCGTCGTTCGCCGCCATTGGGCAATTCCCAGGGGAAGGGGATGGCACCAATGCGCCCAATAGCGAAGGGTGACGTAAACAACTCGACACCAAAGCTCCCAAGAGCAAACGGCAACGCAACAATCTCCACTGGCATCGTCAGAACAACAATCACCATTGCTGGGCCCCTCCTTCCCCCACCCTCCTTATCACCCGCAGGGTGGTCGTATAGGCATAAGTATGTTGGGATGACGCCGACCTCAGGAGAGCAAGCGTCGGCGGCGCGCACGAGTTTGGCAGGGGGGGAGGGGGAGGCTTCGGAGGGGGCTGCTTCTCAGGAGGCGCCAGCCCTGCATCTGCAGGCAAGGCCTGCGCCGTCGGAGGAGCAGGATGCTTCTAAGAAACCCTCCCCCCTCCCCCTGCCTCCCTCTGCGCGTGGCCAGCAGCTTATAGGAATCAAAACTCGGAGGTCCGCGCGGATTCCTCGGATCGGCGCTGGCGCCTCCATGGCGGCGCCTATGCCACCGCCACTGGCGCGCTCCGCGCGCAAGGGAACGGGGTCTGGCGCCGATCCGAGAAATCCGGGCAGACATCGGAGTTGTTTGTCTTCATGCCATTGCTTGTCCCCCAAAGCCTGGAGCGCACAGCCACCATCGTGTCCCTCTTCTGCTTTGGATGCGCGCCAGGGTGTGCCTGCTGGGGCACGGGTGTAGC